AACTATACAGATGTGTGTATTTATATCTATATAACTATACAGATGTGTGTATTTATATATAAGTGTGTGTCGGTGTCGGTGTGTCTGGGCTTCTGCAGTGACTCTAACTCGCCTCCTTCTCTGTGTTTCAGTCTCTGGACGGCTTCGTATTTGCACTAAACAAGGAGGGCCGATTCCTCTACATCTCTGAGACCGTCTCCATCTACCTGGGCCTGTCGCAGGTAAGACTCACCTGCCAGCTCCGCCTCCGTCTGCCCCTGAGTGGCGCTAACACACTTCCTGTTCCGCTAAACTGCAGCTCTGGAGATGTTCTTCTTTCTGTCTGAGATCTTTCTGATCAGACGTTTGGGTTCAGGAAGATTTTTTCCTTTTTGCTGTGAGTGTTGGATCGTTTCGCCAAAGTTCTACCAGCAGAACCTCAGATCCCAGTTTGTCCAACAGTCGGCTCTAGAACCTGCTGTAGAACCTCTGATGTTGTTCCATAAAGTAAAAGATATACAGCGTGCCAGAGCAGGTGGAGCGAGTCAGTTTCACCTCCAGGAACCGTTCAGGGTTACCAGAGGTTCCTCCAGAGCTGTTCTCTGAAGGTTCTTCTAGACCTGCTCTCTGAAGGTTCCTCCAGAGCTGTTCTCTGAAGGTTCCTCTAGAACTGTTCTCTGAAGGTTCCTCTAGACCTGCTCTCTGAAGGTTCCTCTAGGACTTTATGATGTTCCAGAGTTCCTGGAGGAAACTGAAACTGTAGTTTTGGCGCCAAAACTGAACCTAGAAGTAATGAAAGTATGAAGTACAGGATGGACTGGTGCTCTGCTTCAGTCCTCCTCAACGTTTCCACTTTCCTACGATGTCACGTCATGAATTACGTTTGATCTAAATTTAAACTACGTTCTCCTCATAACGCAACTGAGCTGCACAGAAACGTTTCAGTGGAGATCTCTGCTTTGGTCAGGGTTCTGGAGCTCTCTCTTGAATTCTCCACCATGTCTTCGTCTCTTCTTTCTTTCTTTCTTTCTTTCTTTCTNCCACTGTGAGAGCCTCTGAGGTCCAGAGTTGAGCCCTGATGCTGTGAGATGGTGTCGGTTTAGATGGACATCAGTGTTGAAGATCAGGAAGACATGAGCTGGTGTTTATGTTCTGTCAGGAGCTGAGTTAGCTTCTGGTGACATGAAACCACAGAACAGGACAAAGGAAGTGGTCTGTGAGACACTAAATGCCACAAACAAGACACAAAACAACAAAAAAAACAAGACAAAATTACACAAATGAGGCACAAAACAACACAAAATAAAAACAACAACAATATACATCTACACAACGGAACACAAATGAGACAAAATGGCAAAAAACAGACGCAAAACAACAGGAAGTGAGATACAACAACACAAATACGACACAAACTGAAACAAAAATGACTCAATACGACAAAAATATGACACAAATGAGACACAAAACAATAAAAAACAAACTAATCAATAAAAACTGGACAAAAAGACACAAAACGACAAAGTCAGACGTGTAGCTGACAGTAAACATCTTTAAACACACACGGGCTGAACAATACACACTCACACACAGTAACACACATACACACACAGACACAGTAACACACAGTAACACACACTCCGGTTGTGTGTGTGTGTGCAGCAGCAGCAGCATCCAGGTGTAATTAACCCGGCGACCTGAGCAGTGTTGCAGCTTTGTGTCGTGTTGTCGAGTCGAGTGTCGAGCTGATCTCCGCTGCATTCGCCGCGCTCTCACCTGTGTGAGCCTCTGATTGGCTGCTGAGTGTTGCACCGTGATGCTGGCTGAGAGCCTCCATTAGACACAGTGGAGACGAGGCGGCCGCGCACACACACACACATACACACACACACACACACACACATACACACACACACACACACACAGCCTGGTGGTTGGGAGCTCCTGACTGGGAGGAGTATATGTTCATGTAAACGTTTTCTGGAAGCGTGTTGAGTCCAGCAGCTGGTAAAGATGAACATAAAGACTATAAATATAAAACTAAGGACTGATCCTGTGATCAGACGTCCCAGCGGGCACTGACGCCTTGATTTCTTTGTTCATTTTACATTCATGCTCATATTTCTCTGCTGGTGTTCGTCTGGTGTTTCTTCTGTAGGACTTTAACGACAGTATCTGTTTCCCGTCAGCATTAGTAAAGTGGTTCTGGTTCTGATCCTGTTTTCTGTTAAAGAGCATTAAAGAACCACCTAGAAACGGTTCGGTCAGCACCAGAAGTAGAAGAAGAAGAAGATCTATTGAGCAATCATCTGTATTATTTTACAGATTTTCTCTGTATCATATCTGTCCAGTCTGAGAGTAAAGTATGAATCAGAAATCTGAGTTTTCTAAAACACAGATTTGTTCTTTTCCAGTGATTGGACAGAAAGTTCTGCTGTTTGAATACATTTTGTGGTTTTTCAGACATTTACTGTGAATGTGAGGAAAGTTCTGAACATAATAATGTGTTTGATTATAAATAATGAGGATTCTTTCACAGTGTTTGTAAAACTAATCTGTTCTTTACACATATCTGCTGCCATGTTCAGGTTTTACTGTTTGTTTAACGTTATTTTACTGTTTCCAACGTGTTCTGCTGGATGTTCAGTTTTCTTTACAGTTGGTTGTTCACAGCGTTCCTTCTCTCAGGAACCAGCCTCACACTGAGAACCTAAATTAAATTATCGTGAGCAGGTTGAAAACTGGAACATGAACTAAGTTTATGAACGAGTCTTTGTGCTGTGTTGTATATTTATATCTATACAACTATACAGATGTGTGTATTTATATCTATATAACTATACAGATGTGTGTATTTATAT